GGCCCGCCGGCTCGGAACTGGAGGGCGGAGCTGGGACACGGACTTGCGATTCTTTTCAAATCAAACTGGCTTTCGGGTCGCCGGGAGGGCGTGCAGCAGCGCCACGGCGGGCCTTTGATTTGAAAGGATGACGTGACATGATGCAGGCTGTTTGCTCCCCGCTGCTCCCGGGTTTCAGCCCCCTCCCCTTCCCTCCTCCCTGATCTGGGAACCTCTTTGGCCAGTTTGGCCTCCTTACTTCCGGCCGGACTGAAAAGCTAACCCGACCCACCGTGAGACAGTGGAATAGTCTCTCCGTGAAGGAAGCCCACCGTTGAAACCATTAACCTGGATCCTGCAAAGCCCTGGACGTGACTGTAGGCTGGTTTCTGAGCTGGCCAGAATGGACACGTTAAGGACCACCCGGGCCTTGTTGCGTCCCTGAGTTTCCGTGGGGAGCTAGGGCTAGGACCGAGGACTGGGGCGGCGGGCTCTGCCCGTAAGCCCGGTGACACAGATGCCCGCCTGCGTGCCAGGCTCGCTTCCCCAAGTGCTGCCCGTGACGTGTCTTACTAAGGCGTGGCAAGCCATGGAGTCCGACTGCGCGGTTCGCGGCACTCTGCTCACGACTTGATCAGGTCTCCGTAGGTGGGGAGCAAACGCTGCACATGTACGTGCGTGACACTTCTAAAGGGCGGTCTGCATTTGTGAATTAAGGAGGTTTACGCCAAAGTAAGAATCGTTTTGAAACTCAATAAAGTAGTACCCTTGCTACTCTGAAAGTTGGGACCTTTTTTCCTCTTTAACATGGATATCTGTGGTCCCCAATACAAAAGTCACCACCGAAAACTTGGGTGGACTTCTGTTCATCTCTCTGCATTTGCCTTTTCAGCCCTAGTGTGTGAAATAAAGTGCCCAGCACTCGGCCTTGTCTGCCGGCCGCCGACAGCAGGCCCAGGGCCCCTGTGTGGACAGCGGCGTAAAGCGCCCCAGTCTCAGTTTGCCTGAAGGGCCACCGGCCGCACCTGCACAGCAGGGCTGCGTCTTCAGGCAGGTCGTCCCGGGCTGTGACCTTGACCAGGAGATGCTGATCCTGCATCTCAGAACAGTCTTGCTCTGTCTCCGTGAACCTCCTTAAACTGCACGTGTTTGTTGCTGTTCCTATGTATGTGTGTCTCTCTATCACATAACCCAGCACTTATTTCCTCAGCCAAGGGGCTAGGGGCGAGCCTAGCCAAGATTTTACCTCCAATGGACGCAAGTTTCTTTGGTGAAGATCTCTCCTGAGAGTTCGGGACTAGCAGAAAGAAGCGAGGAAATTTCGACCGTTTGGTTCTTACGGATAGGTATTTATGTACTCGGTTTGTGTGAATGTAAGCTATGATATTTAACTTTCCAGAAAAAAAAAAAAAAGCTTTTTTATGCAAGTGGCATTAAATGGTTGACCAAACCATAACCGGTGAGAACTGCCGGTGAGGTGGATATGATTTATACTATTAAGGGTCATTTGCTTCTAAATCTACTTTACCGTACTGAGTGAGGGAGCCTAGACTCTGTTAAGGTAATCTGAGTTTAAAAGTGGGTGAGATACACTAGCCAGATTAATCGCATCTGAGAGCTTTTCTGCTTGCTTGCATAGTCGCCTTCAGCTCCCCTGGTAAGTATGCGTCTAGTGCACACACCACCTGCAGGTGCACTCCGCCCGCTGACCGGCTCGCTCGCATTACAGATATGATGGGCGTGGTCACCTGCATGACCTCTCCGAGTACGACGCCGAGCACTCCACGTGGAACCGCGACCACCAGCTGTCTGAAGAGGAAGCGCGAGTAGAGGCCCTGTGTGATGAGGAGAGGTATTTAGCCTTGCATACGGACTTGCTTGAGGAGGAGGCGAGGCAAGGTACTGCTCAAGAAAAACTTACTTAAGCAACAAACTTCTAAAAATTTTTAAGTATTTAAAAATTTACTCCCATTCATTTTTTTATACTCACTCTTTCTGATATTATCTTGACAGTACCCAGTGGATTGGAAAACAGCAGTCTTTGCGTTCTGAGAGGACCTCAGGATAGTTTATATGTAGAGCCACAGAGACTTTTCCCAGCTTTTGAGGGCAGACTGGGATTTGAAAAAAAAAAAAAAAAAAAAACAAAAACAAAATCTTTAAACGGTGCTTTTTTAAAAGTTTGTATAAAA